CTGACTGCTGTCCCCTCTGTGTCATGACCCTCCTGTGAGATCATCTGAACTGCTGTCCCCTCTCTGCTTGCAGCTGCCCCACACCAGGCTGTGATGGCAGTGGACACGTCAGTGGCAAATACGCAAGGCACCGAAGGTAGAGATGCCACCCCCTGTCTTTCTGTATGAGAACTGCACACCCGTGACGAGAGTCGGGTCTTGGGCTTGTCACCTCTGTCAGTGGTGACGTGAGCTGTGGTCTCTCCCGCCTGGGTTCAAAGCAAGGTCATGCTGGCGTTATCTCTTGCTTTAGGGAGTGTTTTACACCCCCATGGATCGCTGGGTTTAGTGTGTGCGCTCTGCTCCAGTTTAATGGCATGTGACTTCACCCTCCTGATTTAAGAAAGGGTGGGTCTGAAAGATTAATTAGCACAATAAAAAATGTAAATAAAGTATAAATATGCTTTTTCAAACTAATTTAGGTTAGCAAAATATATAGTATATAATATACACCCCAGAATCCTGTCCAAGATAAATGGCTGGTAGATGGATGAGTGGATGGATGGAAAGATTCATATATTATAGAGCATAACTATATATTTTTTTAATAATTCAAGGTGTTTTTCCTCTTTTTTGCTAAAGCCACACGGTTACAAATATTCAAAATCTACTCCAAATCCATCTGGCGTGTGTCCCATTTAATTAAAGGTGATGTAAATGTTGTGGAAGATTCCAACAGAGCCCTGCTTTTTCTTCTCTGTGTTCTTCATGCTAATTGGAGACACAAAAGTGCAGGACTTATTTTGCGCAGAAAAACATGATCTCCCATTGCTTATCCAGAACATAACGCACTCTGCTTTCAATAAACTAAAAAAGGCAAAGGTTGAGAGGAAATTCAAGCATGCTGAAAGCACTGTGACAGTCTTTCTTAATTATTTAATTCAATAAAATATCTTATTTCTTCTTCATAACTGTTTACAGCATGACAAACAAGGTGGATCATTTAGCCTTTAGTTTAACCCGTGCTGTGCTCGTCTGGCCCGGTCCCACACATCACCAACGTGTTTGGAATTTGCGAGGATTGCCCAAAAATTCACCGTTTTCTCTTCTTTTTCTGGGTTAATTTCTGTTCACACTCAGAATCATTTTTGATGGTTTTCTCCACTGTTAAGCAGAATATGTTGAACTGGTTGCTGTAAATGTGCTTTAATTACCCCCTTGGCATGACCGATTATGAGATGGAGGAGAATCAACCTGTTAGATGGGGCGGTGTTGGGGGGGGGGAAGGTTAGTGCCCTGCCCTGCTGGGGCCGATGGCAGCCCCCCCCCCCACTCACCCAGGCTGTCTGAGAGGCTGTCTCTGCACAGTCCAGGAGGTCCGCAGGCTTTCCGCCTGTCACTGGCGCTTACCTGACGGTGACGGGCATCAACCGGTGCCTGAAAAGGATCCGCGGGGAGCGGCCAGAGCCGTGGGGGGATCCGCTGCGGGTGCCGCATCCCGGCCGCCTGACAGCCGCGCTCTCCATCCCGAGCCCTCCCACACCCTGACATATCGACCGGCGTCCCGGGGGGAGAACACAGAGCTGAACCCCGGGAGTCCTGACGTGTCCCGCTAACGGACGTGCGTGTCCCGGTGACACAGCAGCACGGCCACGCCAGTGTGGTGTGATAATTAAAAATAAACAGACGCAGCATTCCTCCGGTCAGAGCAAGGAGCCCCCCCCTCCCCCGTCTGCGGGGTCTAATCTCTCCCCACCACTGCTGCCGCTGCTGCTGCTTCCGCATTTGCATACTTATGAAAGGGGTCTCGAGCCTCTGAAGCTGGCAGTAAGAAGGCGGCGTCGTTAATATGTTAATTAGGCTCTGGCGGATTCCGCACGTGCTCACCACTGACATCTCCTTCAGATATAAATGCAGAAAGACTGAACGTGAAGTGCGGCCCGTGATAGGATTCCCTAAGCCAGCCTCCTGCGGGAATCGTTCATGTCTCTGAGCACTTGAACTCTTTCTTACTCGTCCACTATGTATCATGTGATAAATATTGATGTATCGGCATTGCAGTTGGCACGTGTCACTGGAGTTTCCTTCCGCAGTTCAAAGATTTGCTATTATGCTGATTTTTCTCTAAATTTACAGATCGACATTTTTTTTTTTTTGAAAGCAGGGTCAGAGAGTGCCGAGAGCGATAGGGGCTTAAGGGCTTTGCTTAGGGTCCCAATGGCAAAATCACTCATCTGACCCTGGGACTTGAACTGCAGATCTTCCAGTCAGAGACACAGTGACCTACACAGTTGCTGCATGTGAGTGTACAGTATGTGCCCTGTGACAGACTGGCAAGCTATCCCAGAGTTTACCCCAGCCTTGTTCCCTATGCTGCCTAGGATAAGTTCCAGATCATCCCAAAACCCTGACTAGGATAAGTGGCTGGAAGATGAATATTGTCTCTAAGACCTTTCAAAGATTTGAACTAATAACCATCTGGTTAAAGGTCCTGCTTTTTGACTTCTGTGCTGCTGATTCCTTGGGTGGATAGTGAACAGTGAAAATGACAAAGCTCCTCACATGTATGCGTGTGGATGGGATCTCCAGTTTCTTGTGACTCCTGTGGTAGTACCTGAAGGGTGTGGTGAATGTCTTTGCTATCCGTTTCTGCCGAGTTTCAATGGAAATACTGTCTGGATAGCCCGGGATTCCTCTTATGTGTTGTTAGAATTCTTCCCCAGTGCTTGTTCCAGAAATAATTGTGTCCTTTAGATGATTTATTCAGCACAGAGTATTTATGAAAATCTGCCCAATTTTTACGCCTGCCCTGGCAAGTCACCAGAGCGTTAAATCCAGCCTACCCTGGGCGTGTTTAATAATGACTCTTCACTCTGTGGTATTTACCGCTTCGAAAAATGATTGAAAGACAGGTCTCCCAAGTCATGTGATTGGGCGACGCCCCCTTGCAGACTGTTTTGTCACAGACTGTACCTGTGGAAGGCCTTCCCTTCAACTGGAGGAATGCAGTGATGATGAATTGCAGATATGGGCTGAGAGGCGGAATTGGGGGGCGAGATAATCCTGAGGGTGGGAAGCTGTTAGGAGGCTGTGCTGTGAGCACACCGGGACTGAAGGGGGGGGGGGGGTGCAGAGATATGGAGGAGATTAGATATGGCTCATCACCTGCACAGCCTCGATCTGCTGTCAGTTACATGACACCCTGATACACAGTGCCGTAAAACTCAGGCCCCGACCCTCATTTCCACGGCTTTCCCGGAATGCCGGGATATCTGGCATGCCAAACACGGAGAGAAGCTGTGCTCTCAGGCCTGGCTGTTTCCGTTTCAGGGAATCGAGATGCAGACAAGGGGCTACCATACAGCGGTGTATCACAGAACCACGCCATCAATAGCATGGCTGTTTATTACACAAGAACCTCGGTCAATTAATAATGAAAAACTGTGTGAATGATGAATTATTAAACTGGACAGAGTTAAACAACCAAAAGACAAACCATTACTAGCGTTAGTGTTAATATAAATAATACTGTGTGTCCTACAATATGCTTAATAGTCAAAATACTAATTACTAATTAAATTACTAAGTAATACTAAAGAAGAGAAATTCAGTTATTTCAATTAAATAACTTAAAATTCAAGGTGTAACACTACAAAATTACAATTTCTGACACGCATCTTTCCTGATTTAAAATGAAACATTGCTTCTTGCCAAAATGGTCTTTGAGTGTATTGACATCTTTGACGTGTGGTTACCTGTGTGTGGATCTGCCTTTCTGTGATCCGTCAGATATCGCAGGCCGTCATCACTAACGAACGGCACACCAGCCTCACATCAGACACATTATGGTGTGTTTAGAGGTTTGGAAGCTCTGTCTTCTAGGCTCAAAGCCAGTTCACAGTCCAAACACATCACACACATTCGAAATCGTGCCTTCAAAAATATAGATCCGTCCTTCCCCTGTGCAAGTCCTTCGTCCGATAAATACATAAGATTTAGCCTTAGGTCTGGCAGCAGTCGGCTTTTCGTAGCCACTAAAGGAGCTACAGGATAAGTACCTGGACAGCTGGGATAATTAGGTTTTAGTCCAGCTAGAGCCAGCCGATACGAACTATGAATATATGAGTCCAAAACACGCAGCCTCAGTGAGGGGTCATTTTTGGGACAGGATGCAGGTCCATCGCACGGATGTGGACGTCCCTAAGCTCCTTAAGACTCAGCACTGCAGTCGACATCTTTCAGTCAGGTGACGGCGCCCCCGGCAGGCCATAGCCGACGCCTAGCCAAGCGCCGTGTTATATAAACTGCGCTAAAAGCGGATGCGCACATATATATTTTTTTTCCTGTGGCTGCTCGGTTTGAATCCGGTTGCCATGGCTACAGATGGAGGGGCTGCAGGGTTGGGTGGCGGTGGGGGTGTGAATAATTGCCTGTCTGCTCGGGATGCCGTCCTGGAGTTAGAGTCGAGTGCTTCCTCCCCTGATGAACGCCTCATTCGCATTCCGGCAGCAGTCCCAAGGCGTGATACCCGCGGCATGACGGATCGCTCAGAGAGGGCGCCAGCCGGGAACCCATCCAGGTACCATCACAGGGCATCACGCAGCACAGGAGCAAACTTTCTCGACACCTATGGAAGGCCTTAAATAATTTAAATAATAAAAAACCACACTTCATGCAGCTCTTACTTAATAAGAGAAACTGGATTTCTGCACTTTAATCCAAACGCAACCAGTTCTCCCATTAGCCCATCCCTTCCCAGCTCCGATTCCCAGTATCTCCCAGGCTTGTTCTGTCTCCAGCCTCTTTTTCAGCACCAGTGTATATTTAGACAAAGAGGGTCATGCGTTGCAGTGTTTTGCACATCCAGTCCCTGCCCTGCTTCCCAGCAGCCCCACCTGAGCTAATCAGAGCCTTGATGATTCACTGATTATTTGAATCAGTTTTGTTAGTGCTGAGCTTGGGGGGGTGGGGGGGGGTGGGCAGCCCTTTGGATCGGCAGGCCTGGGAGAAACATGCAGCGGATGAAGGATTAGCAAATAGCATGTATATCGCTGGAGCATTTCGGTTGCCTCCCTATGGTCTCACACACACAGCAGACACACTGGAGCCTTCCCATGACTCTGTCCCACACAGGCGGGCCGCCGATGATGTGATGCT